CATGTGAGGCCGCAACTGTCATTGTGAAGCCATTAAGAAGACGACGCGCTTAATGAAGTGAAATGCACGAATGCGGCCGGCACTAATTTCGCCGGCAATTGTCACGAAGTGGGCCGCGTGACTGTCGTCGCACCCCCGGACGGTGAAGAAAAGGGCCGCGGCGAAACAATTTCAGAAATGGGCTCAACGCGCCTCCCGTCGACCCTCTTTGTCCTCGTCCGACGACGACCGACCGGCGACGAATGATGACCGCTCTGCTGGACAGTGGCTGTCGCTATGCCGTCAGATGATCCTCACCAGCAGCGGCGATCCTCAATTGAATTTACAGCGCTGTTGAATTGCTTTACATTGAGCATGACGTTGAACGTCAACAACAACAACAGAACAGAGCTGAAAATGTCAATCACGAACAACAGCAAATAGCTTATCGGAAGAATAGATGTCAAGAATTATAGACTTGTAATTTTATAAGTTGTTGTGCATTTATTTATACTTAAAACTTGGCGTTTCTAAGGAGACCAGCTCCTGAAACATGATTCGTGGTGAGTGCGAGGTGGCTGTAGCGAACAGAATCACGCGAGAAGCATCTGACATAGCCTCAAATATCACTGCTCAAATATCATTGGGTCATTGACTGCTTATATACCCCCCCCCAGACAAGTAGGAGTAGGAGGCAGTGTAATGCGTCGAGAAATCTTGTCTTCCAGGAATGACGCATTATTTAATTTATGTATTTGCATAATGAAAACTAGCAAGCTGATGAGTTCCAAAAAAATCTGACAGTGAACGACGACGTGTAGAGACCGATCCGATTGAGCAGAGAAACTGATCAGCTTCCGGGCGAAAACGAAGCTCCGGTGGTCGACCGGTTAATTGAACGTTGAACAAGGGAATACACCAGGCACTGTTGCTTGTGGAAGATCGAGCAAAGCATGTAATGCTGCCCGTAAGACAGGGGAGAATCACACGCCGGCGTCAAGCGCATCCACACACTTCAAAGCAAGCGAGACGCTGCCTTGTCAATGAAATGACTAGTTGGTGAGGGAAGCCGAGGCAAATAACTACCTCACAACGGATGGGAACAGAGGATCTTGGTCATGAGGGAAACAGAGGTTAAGGTTAAAGAGGTCCGTCGGTAACAAATCGTCCAAATCTCCAATCAGTGCAAAGTGTCGTAATTTCCGTCAATGGAAACGTGGGAATCGAATAGGAACACCGATTATGACAACGAATTTCGATCAGGGGAAAAATCGGCGTCGTGTCTCTAAAAATACGCGCTACAGAAACGCTACTGACAAACTGTTCAGACCCTAAGGTAATCTATGTAATGTCAAAAGAGTAGTACGCATAATGGGCAGGCATAAGCGATAGCTTCAGTGGGAAATGACATGTCCCCATCGAGAAAAATTGCATTTTCCTAATTTAATTAGGTAGTTCATAGACACCGCCCTGGAGGTAAGGGATGAAGTAAAATTTCATAATGAGGCATGATTTACAACCTTTCTCAGCTCACCTCCGAAAATACGTGTTATATATAATTACTCAGCTGCAGTTGTTGAAACGAATAGGCGTTCTGATTGCATGACGAAGAAATTGGACATGAAATTTTTTATTTAGAATCAGAAACCTGAAGAACTGTTTATTTATTTAGTTTTTTAGATTCGTTAATTTCCTATCCGTTTCTCGATCGCTTGGAATTTATTTCATATTGTTTGTGCCGTTAACCATGGAGTCAGAAGATATATTTGCTTCCAATCATTCCTGTTATTTTAGTGTAAATAGGAAAACTTTTGATTAACGAATGTAAAATCATTTTCAGCTAACTATAAAGCATAAACTTATTGTTATAACAAAATATTTAACATGTGAAATACAAACTCTCGAAATTTGACCTGAATCAAAAGTAATTTGAAATCAATGCAATGAAAGTTGACAGCTCAGACTGTAGCACAGGGTGGAAAACGTTTGAAGCACTGTCTGACGCGTCTGCCTCCGCAACCCGAAAGGAGAAGCGGTCAGTAAAATGAAGATGAGGAAGATGGAGTTGACAGTAAAGCCTTGCTGAAGATCATCTTTGTCATTCAGAATAAACTAGAGAAAACTTCCTGTTCCTTCTGCAGCACAAAACAGTTTGTACACACACGAGTATTGGATTC